TTTTACTCCAAAACATGTGCCATGAGGCAGAAACAGCTCGATAGCTAATTTTAAGTTATCATTATCATCACGCATAAATATAGGTTTTATGTTCTCGCACCAAAATATTTTACAACGTAACCAAAGACTATATATTAAAAAGATATGTATAAAATACCTTATCTACATAATTGTAAAGCATGTTGCATTATCTGCACTGTTTCTGCCCCTTCAAAGCAGGGAAGCTGTTTCATGCTCTCCGATGACCAAAATCTAGGATTTACTTGAGATACCGCCAAAATAAAAGGTAGTATGTAAAATTCAAGGCAATCCTCTGAGGTCGGCACTATTGCTACCTTCATTTAGCTGATGATGAAACTGAGGATACAGTGGTGAACGAATAAAGCTAAAAAAGAAATGAATGCAGGAAACAGATCCATTCAGCCTACTCAGAGGACCTGGCAGTTTAGCAATCCAATTGCGTTACTTAGTTTCTAATATTCAAATTCTTGGGCCCTCAGAAAAAGAGTTGCCATGAAATGGATTCCAACCTATCGTGGTCCCATATGTGTCAGAGTAGAACTGTGCTACATAGGGTTCTCAAGGGCAAATTTTTCAGTCCTGGTGTGGCACCATAGGATCAGCATTGAAATGCGAACCACAAGGTTGGCAGGTTAAACCCACTAGCTGCTCCTCGGAAACCTTATACAGGGTTCACTAAGAATTAAGCAAACTTGACAGCATTTTACAGTAATTTTTCAGAAGTAGATCGGCAGACCCTTCTTTTGAGACGCCTTTGGGTGGGTGGACTCAAATCTCCAACCTTTCAACTGACAGTCAAAATTGTTCACTGATACTTAACAGACCCATTAAAAATTGAAAAAAAAAATAATAATAAAAGGCCCATGCAACAGAAAACATTTTCAAAAAAAGTAATTGAATAATTATTGTTAAATGCCATCGAGTAGGTTCCGACCCATAGCAACCCTGTATACAATTTCCAAGGAGCAGCAGGTGGACTTGAACCACCAACCTTGCAATTAGCAGTCTGGTGCTTATCCACATCAGGACTCCATATAAATAATTAGTGTTGGCAAATACGTATATCTTCTTTCCTGTTTCTTTAATGCCATATCTTCTGCTGTTCCTACTCCACCTATCACTGGATAAACTTAAGTTCTTCTTAGTCCATCTGCAAGTCTTCCTCTAAGAAACCTGGTGTGGCACTGTGGGCTAATGCACAGGACTGCAAGATTGGTTTGAACTGCAAGGTCTGCAGTTCAAAGTCACCAGCTGCTCCTAGGAAACTCTATATAGGGTTGTTATGGTTCAGAACCGACTCGATGGCACTTAACAAATCAGTTCTAACTCAGAGCAACTCTGTATCGAGTTTCCAAGGAGCAGCTGGTGGGTTTGAACCACTGACCTTGTGGTTAGCAGTCCAGTGCTGGTCCTACAGTACTACATCAGGACTCCCCTACTATTAATTAAACAGAAAACCCTTAAATTGAAACAACATCTATAAACAATCCTCTTTCCAGAAGATCCTATATGACACCCATGAGGCAACCCCTTTTAAAAAAAAAAAAAAATTTTTCAAAACACCTTAAAAAGAATTTCTTAAAAATACCTTTCCTGAAGAGGGGGGGAAAAAATTAGTAACCTGCTACAATTTGATGAACTTTACCTATACTTATGGATGTAGCAGCTCAAAAAAGGGAACAAATCTTTACAGCGAGGATCACTCCCATCCCCTCGGTACACAGGGTTGACAGGGATGGGCACCTTAGACATTGGCTACCCAAAATGGGGGGCCTAGAAAGGCAAGAAGTGACTGGCTTACAAACTTTCAAGAGGGAGCCTAGGTCCAGACAGGGCAGGGGAAGGTAGAATCACCACTGAATGATTTCCAATCTGTTGGAACCGGGCTGGCGAAAGATATGGGGATAAGACTCTTGTGGTACAATAGTGAATGATTGCCATCAGGACTGACGGTGAGGGTAGGAAATGAAGAGGCAGATGTTTTTTGACAAAAGGAGGAAAGTGATGGACTTTGTAGCCCAGGAGTGGAGGTCCCTGAGACCATTAAGTGCAGAGAAATGGAGAGCGGGACCCTACCCAGAGAGGCAGTGACACCAGGGATGGATAGATGGCGCGGCTGAGGACACTGGACTCAGGGAGGGAAAAGGGCTGTGTGCTGACAACCGAGGGGCAGGCTTGCGGAGTGTACCCTTTGGTTATCTGACGATTCATGGAGGAGATTGTAATCAATGCAATGAAACGAAATACGATAGGATGAGTGTAAAGCTGATGTTCTCCCATGTAAACCTCCCAATAAAAACTTAAAAAAAAACAAAACAAAAAAAAAACTCCTTCTGTAGTTTATGCTTCTTGTTACTGTTGGTTGGTGGTGGTGGTGGTTATGTGCCATGGAGTCGATTCTGACTCATAGAGAGCCTGCATGGGGTTTCCAAGGCTGTAAATCTTTATGGGAGCAGAAAGTCTCATCTTTCTCTTGCGGAACATCTGGTAGTTTCAAACTGCTGACCCTGACGTTAGCAGCCTGTCTTGTAACCACTACACTAACAGAGCTAAGTGCCATCAAGTTGGTTCTGACTCCCAGCGACCCTGTAGCTATACATTCTCTCACTCCATCTAAACATACACAGGTTAAATAGTCTCTAAAAGGTACACATACAGAGATAAAAGTGTTTAATCCCAGTTTCACTTTCATTGTATCTTTGATTAAACTCAATTACCTATAAATGCCTCTAGAATGGGTATGCCAAAAGACACCTACTAAATTCTAATTTAAAAAAGCAAAATATACATTGCATATATATAAACAAAAGCAGGAATTAAGATTTCTGTATAATTAAGTTTTGTGCCTATAAATACTATAGTTAAATCATATCATAGAAGGAGGTATCAAAGAGCTTATGGAGAAATTCCATTATCTTTCAATTACATTTTTCCACAAACTTTTGAAGGCCCTCAAGGTCTTGACAGTTTCACCTTGAAGTCCTAAATCTTCAAGCTATAACTAATGAGAGTCTGTAATTTACTTTCCTTTCAGTCTGGGTTGGTTTCAGTACTAGTAAGAGGTAGAGGCTACAACTGAGTAAAAATGCAAATACATAAAGACATATATCAGTGATTCCCAGCCCCCACTCCACCCCCTGCCCCCACTCCACCCCCTGCCCCAAGACAAGTCTGAAGACATTTTTGGTTATCACAAAGTGGGAGGTGGGGAGATGGATGCCACCAATGTCTAGTGGGTAAAGTCCATGGATATCGCTAAGCACCCTGCGAAAGAGCAGGACAGCTCCAACAACACAGAATTATTGGCCTAAAATGTCACTAGTTTCACTCTTGAATCACCCTGATATACACAAATGTAACTTTTTAAAAATAAAAATATCAAATTTTAAGGGTGGTTTTTTCAGTAGGATTATAAATTATATTTATTTTCTTCTTTGTATCTTTCTGCATTGTCCAAACCTTCTGCAACACAGGTCTGATTTATAAACGGGGAAAAAAATCTACTTGGGAAAAAACTTTTGAGAGAGGGACAGGCTTTGGTCTCCATCCTGATGCAGCCTTTTCTCAAAGGACTAGTCTTACTCAGCCTACCTGCTGCCTTCAGGGAAGGTCCAGGGTGAAATTTCCCTCTAAAATCAACCTCTCCGCCTAGAAGCTGTTATTCATTAGCCCTGGTTAAAACGAATATTCCAAATATCTCAAAACCAGCACTCTATACATGTCACAGAAGGAGAAAACCGAAACACAAAATTGCCCGGACTCTCTGTGAAGTTATAGCTGCTTTTCTAAATGGCCACAAAAGACAATGTAGAATTAAGTGCTCCTACTGAAGTGGGAAGGAGCTCTGGTTGCATAGTGGTTACCAATCAGGCTGCCAACCTCAAGGCCAGACTGCAAAGCCGGTTTAAACTGCAAGGTCGGTGGTTCAAGCTCACCAGCTGCTTCTCAGAAACCCCATACAGGGTCGCTATGGGTCGGAACCAACTCGATAGCACTTAACAACAACTTAAGTGGGAACCCTATACACGGTCGCTATGGGTCAGAACCAACTCGAAGGCACTTAACAACAACAACTGAAATGGGAACCCTATACAGGGTCGCTATGGGTTGGAAATGACTTGACAGCACTTAACAACTGAAGTGGGAAGTAATAAACATCTTAAAAATCATAGCCCACCAGCTGAATATTTTCATATTAATAAAGAAAAAACACATACACTTGGGGTCACTGACTTAAAAAGTCAATGATTTCATATTCAAAGATGTATATTTGCAGGCAATGATAATTTCTCTTAAAAGTTAAACCTTAAACATGAAGGCTCTGCAGCACTGCATATGCTATAGGAACAAACCCTATACAATGCAACAGATTCCCAATAAACTGTTAGCAATTATTTTCCTGCATGCACTCATTACACCATCATATAGAAAGAAAAAGAAAAACCTGACATTCAAGTTCTTAAAGAGAGTGTATTCTAACACAAATTAAAGGCACTCGGAAAAAAATCCAAGATTACAATCCTTTAAAGTCACATCTTCATCCCAAAGCTATTTAACGCTAATGGCAAACACCACTCAGTAGCATTTATGAAATCACTATTTCTGCTGTCCTCAATCTTCCATCCTGCATGCCATCCACAAGGAACCAGCAACGCACATGTGCTTCGCCCACCCAGGACCACGCACCGGCCAAGTCACCGCCCTTTTCCTCTGCACGGCAGCCACTGGCCACGGCCCTGCTGAGGTGGCCTGGGTTCCCACCCCTGAACTTGGGGCCGGCGTGACTCACGCCTTGTCACATGGCGCGGGAGGAGGCCAGGAAGGCCACCGCTGCCAGGTGTTCGGATTCGGCATGACCGACCGTTTATTTGCCTTGCAAAGTGGCCTGACCGTGGGTGCCGCTGGGGAGCCGGTAGCCTCCCGCCTCCCTCCCTCGCACACCCACACCCACACCCGTCCTGTCATCTGGTCGTCCTCACCTGAGTGGGCAGCAAGAGTTCCCCTTCTTCAGCCTGCCACAGCTCCACCACATTGGGCAAGGGCTCAATCGCTGCACGAACACACACACAAAAAAAGACACTGCATTTTTAATGCACGGAAAGACATGCTTCCTGTCCCGCTCTCGTCCCCCTATTCCACCCACCTCATCAAAACAAGTCTCATTTTCCTTCTCAATACTAAGGCGACGTGGAGGAGAAAAACACAATGGACTGGGTGGAAGTCGGCGGCCCCTCTGACAGAGAGGGGAAAGCGTGTCTCTGCTTTCCCCATATATCCGCATATCCGCCAGCGGTCCGGTCGCGGCTGATCGTGCGGGGGAGAGGTGCAGCCACCCCCCCCCCCCGGACATTCAAGGCTCTGCAACCCGCAGCCCCGGGGGCGGGCTTGTGTGAGTCTGGTTACCGAGCGGCTAGGCTCGGGGAACAAAGCTGCAGGATGCCGGGCGGGTGAATGCGGCGCCCGGGCCGCGGCAGGGAACACAAAGCGGGGGCTTCGCCCGGGGCGCCCGGGGCCCGCGCACAAAGGCTCCGGGGCGCGCGCGGCTAGCGGTCTGCGCGGCTCTCCGCTAGCCCCGCAAGACCTCCTCTGTATTGCGGGGAGAGGAGGTACAAGGCGAGGTGACTAGGAAATGTTATCAACCGAGAATTGCAACAGCTTTCCTTCCTCCTGCTGCCCCTTTCCCTTTCCTCCCCTCGCCAGCTTATAGATTTCTGCAGTTCCCTAAAAGAAAAAGCAGGGGGGGCGGGGTGGAGAGGGAACTCTAGCAAAGCGGCGCAAGGCTGACCTTGTCCCTGAGCCCCTCCCGGGCGACAGCAGGGCAGAAGGACCTGGAAAACGCCCAGAAGGAGGTTCACGGCCGCGGCGGTGCGGCAGTAGCAGCCCGGCTGCGGGCGTCGGAGCCCCGCCATGCTGGTGCTCACGCTCCTCTCGGGTGCTCGCAGCGATC